ACTACTTGTTCATTTGTTGTCTACTTACTATCTTTTACTCGATATATATATGTCAATGTATGTTGTATCAGTCAGTATCAGTTTGTGTGTGTCTATGCGTGTGTGTGTGTGTGTGTCTGTCTGTCTATCTGTCTGTCTATGTGCATTGGATAATCACATTAGTCATGATTATGAAAAGCTTGGAAAATGCGGATGATTTTCTTAATGTGTCATCCGTTTAATGGTTGACGTTTTCAAAAGTTCCCGGTGTTGTGTTGACAGTGTTTTTTTCCTTTTAATGAAAGAAAATTTTTTTCTTTACCGAAAGGAAAAAAAGAGAGAAAATAAACATTTTTTTTGTAACGTTTGATTTTTATTCAGAAACTTTTATTTTTTTAATCCTAAGATCATGGATGTCAGTAGAAAAAACGAATATTGAGTTAGGATGATGAAATAAACTATTCTGGATGTTGTCGTATTTTTTTGGAGGGTTTAGTAGTTAGTTTTCTATAGGATGGGGTCGCTAAACCTCCTCCACGATCGAGGCTTGAGACCGGCAAATAGCCCCAGAAGGACACCAGCAGGAGATGGAGAAGACAATCAGTGTAGCAGCTGCAGCCTTAGCAGCAACAGTAGGTCTCAACAGCAGGCTTGGGACTGACAGAAACCCTAGAGGGGCTCCAGGAGGAGATGGAGAAGACAAACAGTGTAGCAACTGTAGCCTCAAAAGCAACAGTAGGTCTCAACATACACAAGGGAAAGAGCGAAATTCTCTGATACAACACAACATACACCAGTCAATTCACACTTCACGGTGAAACTTTGAGAGATGTAAAAATATTTACATATTTGAACAGCATGATTGATGAAAAAGGTGAGTTGGATGTAAATATGAATGCGTAGATTAGCAAACCGGGGGGTGGCATTTCTACAGTTGCCTAATGAATGTCTGGAACTCAAAACAACACTATCAACCAACATCAAAGCCACAATCTTCAATACAAATGTTAAGATAGTTCTATTGTATGGAGCGGAAACTTGGATGGGCTTTGTCACTGATGAGTCCCGTACCAAGACGAAATGGCCGTCCACCGGTGCTTCCAGGTTTCTAATGGTGGTATAACAATGTTTGATTGATGATTTTAAACGTGTAAAAAAATAGCTGTAATTGAAAAATCGTGAAATTTGCTTACTAGTTAGTGGCTTACTTTGTGAGGAAATTCTCGAAGTTCTAGTGAGAAGACGTGACCAGTGGAGTTGAATCTTGTCTTGTATTGTGACATTTGTTGAGTGCTTGCCTTAATCCTACTAGTCTTATTCATCTTCTAAAGTCGTGTCTGTCCTGATTTCTTCCGCTCAACTGGAAGTCTAGTTTCGTTCTCCGTACCACAGGGAGGTGTTTAGCTGGGACTAGTGGTTTGGATCACAATGAATCCTCAGTATTTCGTATAGAAAACTGTTAATCAATACTTGTATCTTCTGAATGATGGCTATCATGTTTCTCCAAGTTTACCCGATCGCATACAATAAAACTGTCTTGACATTTGTATTGCGGAAAGATTGGTGGCTGTTGAATGTTGGTTGATAGTGTTGTTTTGAGTTCCAGACATTCATTCGACAACTGTAGAAATTCCACCTCCCGGTTTGACAATCTGCGTATTCATATTTGCATCTGACTCACCTTTTTCATCAATCATGCTGTTCAAATATATAAATGTTTTTACATCTTTCAAAGTTTCACCATCAAGTGTGATTTGACTGGTGTATGTTGTGTTGTATCAGAGAATTTCGCCCTTCCCTTTGTGTATGTTGAGACCTACTGTTGCTAATGAGGCTGCATTTGCTACACTGTTTGCCTTCTCCATCTCCTCCTGGTGTCCTACTGGGGCTATTGCCGGTCCGAAGCCTCGATCGATTTTATTTCAGTGATTATGTACCTAAAACTAACATCAACCGCCTATGGTCGGGTTGAAGGGCCCCAACTACGCTTTATAATTTCTCCCTCTGTTAAATCAAATCATTACATCGGACACGAGTAGGATTCAGTGCCTAACATAGTGAATGATGTTCAAGCATTTATGTCTCCTCAACAAAACGACTTAGTATCCTCACGTTCATACTAATATTCGATATCATGTCAACCCGAGTATCCTACAATCTACAGACCAGTCATCAATCTGGCATAATACGAGACTTGATAGGCTTAATTGAATACATAGTCCAGTCTAGATACCCAAAAGAACACATGTTGGATACAAAATGTACCTTTGCGAATTTGGACGACATTCAGACTTGTAGGTGTTCCATTTTAATCTCCCTCAGATGGTAGTTTCGCACCATTGGCCTTTCGACCAGGCACATATGCATGTGGTTCCTTTCATACTAAATAGGTTTACCATAACAACGGTTAGATTACACTTCATCGAATACACATTAGTAGGTTAAAAGTAATCTATCTCACAGACGTCTACACCCAGCTCACATTCCCGAGCAGGAGTACGTAATTATTTACTCTTTTCTTCTATATTTTAGGCAGTGTAAGTCCAGGTGCAACCGGTGGAGCAAGAAAATCTAAAAACAGCCAAACTCTTTATCATCATCAACATCATCATCATCATCAACTTCACCATCAACCACGTGATCGAAATCCTCGGCTGACTACTACCACTACTAATACTACTACTATCACTACCACTACTACCTCTACTACTACTTCTACTGCTACAAGTACCTCGACTCTTATTACATCAACACCATTACCCAATGATACCATCAGTCATCGTTCACGATATTCAAATCAAATTCAAATGAAATTAAATCGCGCCAGTAATAATAAATTAAACAAATCAAAATTGTCATTTAAAACAAAAAAACACAATAAATCAAAACGATCATTATTTTCATCACATTGTCATCTTGCCAACTCGATAAATTCATCAACAACTACAAGGTCACATGATGCTAATAATAATAATAATTATGATTATGATTATCAATGTTCAATTGGTCGAAAGAAATTGCCGCCAAATTTAATTTCAATGTATAAACCATTCTCTTGTACGCTGTCACATCAAGCAGAAGAAATGGTCGGACAGTCCGAACGACAACTGCAACAACAAGAGGCAATTGATTTGTCAATGCATAATACTCGATCACGATTGATTGGATCAGAGACTGTTGCGTCCAATAAACCTTTATCCATGATGTTGTATAAACCAATCAGTACTGATTTATTGTCTTGTCATTCATCAACGGTAAATAAATATACTACTGATGCAAGTATATATACTACTAACAATACCTTAGCTATTACTAGTACTACTACTACTACTACTCCTACTCCTACTACTACTACAAATGTTAACATTTTGCCACAGAGATATTTGAATACAAGTTTGTCAATGAAAGAAATTGGATTGAATTTATCGAGTTCAATTAATGAGAAAATACAAAATTGTAAGTTCAGTTTTAATTCAGTAATTATTTTTACACGTTGAAATCATCAGTGGATCATTGTTAGACCATACCATTAGAAACTTGGAAGCACTAGACAGCCGTCAAGTCTTGGTATGGGACTACTCATCAGTGTTAGGGACGTTAGATCCCTAGAAATTACTTGATAAAAGTCTTAATTTTGGATATTATGTTTTCGAGTATGGGCTGATCATAGTTGACCTTGAGATTACATTTTCCACCAGGAAAATCTTTGATGTGTTATTTTAGTACGCTATTTTTCGGCTCTCCCAAACATGTTTCTATGATATATATGTAAATAAACTCGGTTTGTGTGCTAGAGAACCTCATATTTTCTGGATGCTTGTAGAATACACTTTCTACGTCTTGTCAAGACTTCTTTCTCTACTTAGTGGAGCCTTGGGAGGCTCAAATTAGAGTAACCTATCGCGTCACTGGATCATTTGTCTTTGCTCTCGTTTACCGACTAAGATGAACTCGTAATAGCATTCAAGTATATCAACTGACAAGCATAACAATCAGCTGCGCGCATCTACAATTCCTGCTACTCAAGGTAATCGAACCCAGGATACTTGGGACTTGCGAGCGAACGACTAACTTCTGAACCACTGGGACCAGTGGTTCAATACTAGGACGAATTGGCCGTCTTTCAGTACTTCAAGGTTTCTAATTGTGGTCTAACAATGACTGACTAATGATTTTAATGATATCTAATACCCACTGAGTAAAAACGAAATCAGTAGGATGTGTATTTATATAATTATTTACTTACTTACTTACTTACTTACACACCTTACTTACTTAATTACTTATGCACTTACCTACTTACTTACTTGCTTACTTACTTACTTACTTACTTACTTACTTACTTACTTACTTACTTACTTACTTACTTACTTACTTACTTACTTACTTACTTACTTACTTACCTACTTATGCACTTACTTATGCACTTACTTACTTACTTACTTACTTACTTACTTACTTACTTACTTATGCACTTACTTACTTACTTACTTACTTCTGCACTTACTTACTGGGACCTGTTACCCCCTCGTGGAGTACAGGCCGTCGACCATCATTCTCCACCCTACTCTGCCCTGATCGTTCCTTTCATGTTCTGTCCAATTTTCGTTCATCCTTCTCACATATGTCTCCATTTCTCAATCTAATATGTTTCTTGGCCTTTGTCTTTTCCTTTGACCTTCTGAATAAGGGCTTGAGACATTGACAAAATAAAAATAATAATATAATAATTTGAAAAGTATGTAGATAAAAATTCTTGACTAGTTTAGAAATCTGCAAGCACTGGAAGACTGCCCGTTTCGTCCTAGTACGGGAATCGTCATACCCATCGGATTCGAACCCAGGACCTTCGATTTCTGCGCGCGAATACTTAACCTCTGGAACACTCAACTGGCCGACATCCAACAATGTTAATGTCTAACCTTGATTGCCCATGCCATTTTTCACAATTAATAGTTTAAAAGGTTATCATTAGTAATTTACTTACCCAAATAAGAGTATCTTGTATAAAGTTTTTCACTAGCCGAATGAATGCTGACATTAATTTTTTCAAACAACGAAAAAAATCTTGGAAAGTACGACATATTAATATGATTTCATCATCTCTAGTCACATTACTTTATTTTCTAAACAGTATTTAACTTTTTTCCCCTATTTTAAAATAATATTCCCTCCAAATGTTGTTATTTAACCTTTTGATTTAAACTGAAAAAAATAATTCATTAAAACAAATAATTCATTCAATGTTCCAATATTCACATCCTTAAATGATACTCATTTTAAGTAGTTCAATCAAATGTTTATATATAAATATAAATATATACATGGAAAAAAAAGCATTTCAATCTCTCCTACTTATGAATGTATCGCATCCTAGTGAACATTGAACATATTGAAAACACTGAACATATTCATTTCGTTTAATTAACTAATTAACTAAAGATAAAATTGACTAATTAATCATATAAAATTGTACAGTAAATTAATATTGTAGTAAACTAGAACACAGGTGGTGAGGGCAACCGAATTGTATTTATCGCAAATTACAGAGTTACTCAGTAAAATTGTAAAACCATATCGTAAATCGTTCATTTGCAAAATATCAGTTCATCATATCGAACTGGACTGTTCCCGTTGCAAACAACATCAATCCATTGTCACTCACTATTCATGCGTTTCATACAAATTCCATTGTGTTCCCGCTCTTCTTACTTTCTTGATCTTCCCCCCCCCCCCATCTTCTGCTGCCAGACATTACGTTGACTGACACTCACGTCATATACTACTTATAAGTAGCTCACACCACAATATAAGTATATGATATTCATTAATAATTTGTTGAACAATGAACATTTGTTTTATTTCATTAATGTTCCTAATAAATAAATAAATGTATGCGTGTTTTTTTTCAGAAAAAAATTTATTCTCCCCTAAATTAATTAGAAATAATTATTTATTATATAAAGTGACTGGCAAAGTGAAATTATTTAAATAAATAATATAACCACCATCTGGAAAATGTAATATACAAATGTTTAAATGATGAGGGAACATTTTTAAATTAAAAATAAAAACCGCGAATTTTTAATTGAATTTCGAAACTAATTTTATGTTAACAATTCAGTGGAAGATATAAGTTTGTAAGTGATATGTGTGTAAGTTCAGTTATAGATGTCTTTGAAGTATTACTAAACAATAATAAAATCTTTTTTCGTTAGATCCCTCAGCTCACTTGAAAAAGGTCCTATTTTTTGTATTTTTTTTATGTTTTCGCGCATAAGTTGAGATTACATTTCCCTCCTCGGAAAATCCTTGACTGTCATTGGTCGATGTATTATTTTGTGACTCTCTCAAGGACGTTTCTATCAGTTTATAAATAAGCTCGATTTGTGTACTTGTTGACCTCATCTTTTCTAGGTGCTTGTATGATACACTTTCTACGCCTTATCAAGAATTCTTGATCTAGTTAGCCGGGCTGAGGACAAATGGATTAGAATAGACTATCGTGTCACTGTATCGCTGATCTTCGTTCCGTTTTACCGAGTAAGGTGAACTCGTAATAGCATTCAAGCATATCAATTGACGAGAATATCAGTTATATAGATGGCTTATTTATTATGGAAACCATGAAACACTCTTTGTTAGATCACACCATTAGAAACCTAGAAGCAATGAAAGACGGCCTTTTCGTCCTGGTATGGAACTCATCAGCAGTGAGTATCCATGACTACTGCACCCCGCAGGATTGGAACCCACGACCTTCGGTCTTGCGTGCGAACGCCTAACCCTTTGACCAGTGGGTCGGCATCCAACAGTGTGGACGCGCACTACTGATGAGTCCCATACTAGGACGAAACGGTCGTCTTTCACTGCTTTCAGGTTTCTAATGGTGTGGTCTAACAATGATCGACTAATGATTTCTTTGTGTAAATTGTAACGTCGTTTTTCATTAAAAGGTTATGTAGATGGCTTATTTATTATTAGAAATCATGAATCCCATGGACTGAATCACCATTAGAAACCTGGGAGCACTAGACATCCAAGTCTGAGCCTATCTACAACCCCTAATCATGGGAAATGAAACGAGGACCTGTAAACCACCGATCCAAAGTATCGTGTGACCTTATCCATTTTGTTCCGGTGGATAACTGCTTCATATTGACACTATCGAACTCCAGTGATTACGGCTTCTCACTAGAACTCTGAGAATTTCTTTATGAAACTAAGCACTAATGCGTACAATGTCCAATCCTTACAAATTTATCATGAAAAACTAGATTACAATGACACGAATCGATTTAATAATTATTTGGTTCAACGTGTCAATATTTATAATTTTTGAAACCATGAATCTATCAATATTAGACCACAATTAGAAACCTGGAAGCACTGAAAGATGGCCGTTTCGTCCTGGTATGGGACTCATCAGCGGTAGTGAGCATCCACAACTCCTGCACCTCGCACGATTCGAACCCAGGACCTTCGGTAGTGTGCGCGAACACCTAACTATCGGACCACTGAGCCGGTATCTAACGGTGTTAATGTCTACCTTTCGATCAATTCACGGAGTTGCGCAACCTCATACACAGTCTTCGGTAGTGGTTACTGTCTACACCCGAACAGGTTGAACTTCACTGGTCACGTCTTCCCACCCACTAGAACTCGGAGAAGATTTCTCACGAAGCTAGACAGTCACTAGTGAGCACAGGTAATTTGCATTACAGGGTTGTGAAGATTGTTGTTAAGTTACACATTTTTTTGAAACCATGAATCGATCAATGTTAGACCACCATTTCAAAAATGTGTCAATATTTATAATATCCAATATATGTTTATATTCTTGAACGGTTAGGGCGTTCGCGTACAATACCGAAGGTCCTGGGTTCGAATCATGCTGGGTGTAGGAGTCGTGGATGCGCACTGCTGATGAGGAGTCCCATACCAGGACGAAACGGCTGTCTTTCAGTGCTTCCAGGTTTCTAATGCTGTGGTCTAACATTGATCGATTCATGGTTTCAAAACTGTGTAAGAAATTAATCCACTTACCCCGCTCCCACCCACCTGTCATCTGTCCTTAATCATTTTGCTACTTCATTTTTGAAATTTTTTCTCGTCAGTTCAATAAACAATTTAAAACAAAAATTTAATCTTGAATTTATTGAAAAGGCAAAAAAAAAATAAAATTTTCCAAAAATTTTTGTCATTTTTAAATTAACAACACTTGAACAATAAATAAATCAGTGAAAAACCAAACAAAACTGAAGACAGTTGATTCTTATGAAAACATATCTATCTACATGTTTGTTGAGTTGATGAAGTGATTTTGGTGAAATTGTGTCAAAAATTGAGTGAGAGAGATACACACAGACACAGACACACACAGACATAATGTACTCTTACACAAACTGTTTACATAACACATGAATAGGTTTTTTTACAGAGAAAATTTTAATTTC